CCTTGGGCACTAAAAACTCAAACAGGTATGAGAATGAGGGCTAAGTTGCAGAGTTCCACTCCTACAAATATTTCAGGGGTAGCTTTTGGTCCTCACTGGCCTTCAAGGAATTCATTGTCTCAATTTTAATGTCTATTTTATTTGCCTTGGTGATATTTCTAATATCCCCAATTTGAAGGCTAAAGTTCAAATCTGACCTTCAAAATACTTTACAAAAAATTACTTTCTAGAGAACACATTTGTACATTTTGTTTTTCCTTTTATAGAAGATAAACATTTCTATACTAACTTATGTGAGTTAATGTTTTTTGACTACATATCCTTTATTTCTACCCATAGCAATGCTATTTGACTTATAAAATAAAATTTTAGAGAGTAGAGGTCAAACCTCTTTAACTCACTGTATGCAGTACCTCTTGTAAATAAATTGCAAATAAATGCTTTTGATGATGACAATGAAAATTGAGACCTACTGAATTTTGTAGGGAAAGCACCATAATCTCTTGACACCTTCCCAAAATAAGGAAGGAACTGGGATCTCCTGCTAAACCCATCATTACTGAGGTGCATTTTCTTCTTTGTGCCTTTCTTCTTTGTGTGGTTTTCTATCGCCATGGAATGAGCTGAGGCAAAGAACTATGGGAGAGCAGGCTGAGGATGAAATAGGTTATAAAGGACATGGACTTCAGAGTCATGTAAGCGTGGGTTCAACTTATTAATCACATGACCTTTGCTTCTTGACCTTGGAAGTTTGAGTTCTCTAAATGATTGTTTTTTCTTCTAACGTCTACAGGATTTTATAAAACTTTCACCATCTATAAAATAAAAATAATAGAAGCACCTAACTTGAAAAAATGTTAAAAAGATTGAATGAGATTTTGCTAAGTGTGTCATGCTTGATACATATATAGTTTATTATATATATCAGAGTCATATTTAATGCTTTTATTCATAAATTTCTTTTATTACTTAACAACCTAATGATCTGAATGTGAAGTCATTCTTCACATTCTGCTGTTTTTGTTTTGAATCAATTTGTAAACAGTTGACTTCCTAAGAGAATATATTTCCATTTTAACTTTTTAAAATATTTCATACTTTTTATAAACAGTTTATTTCAATGACTTCAGAATACCAATTTTGATAAAAAGGCTATATATTTTTTTGATTCCCTTGTAATTATATCTTTTCTGAAATGCTAACAACAATGGTTGTTAGTAAGGCTGAAAAGGAGTTCTATGGAAAGGTAGCTATAAGAATTAGGCTGGATACTAAAAATGGGATTAGTTTTACACAGTAAAAAATACTAGATTAATATTTGCCAGATATATAATAATCATTATACATGTTTTGATATGGAAAGATCTCCAAAGTACATTGTTAAATGAAAACAGCTGAGTGTAGGACAATGAACAATATTGTCCTACACTTTATATATATATATATTTATTTATATATATATATATTTATATATATGTGTGTGTGTGTGTGTGTGTATAAACATTTGTATAGGCATAGAAAATTTCAGGAGGGATTTTTAAGAAACCCTCAGTAATGAGTCCCTTGAAGAGAATAACTAAATATTTACATTATTTAAGAGAGATTTCATTATATATATTTTAGTACTTGTTAAAATATTGGATTGGTGTATACTTTTTAAATAATATTTTAAATAAAAATTAGCTAGTATAAAAAATATCATCATCACTAGCAACAAACATATTTGAGTTTCTATCTATTGGAGGCAATATGCTAGACTTTAAATTCATATAAAAACATTAGTATTCACAAGCATCTTGCAAGATCATTTGAAGTTATGTAGCTTGTATAACTGTAGAGCAAATAGGGGATGAAGTACTTTTTTTCTGCTTTTAGTTAGAGTTTTCAAAAATCCTTACTTCGTACTCACCAGCACAGACATTTAACTCTTTAGGACATAGATAATGAAAAGGATTTCTTCATCTATGATTTCAAATCACTAGGATTACACATTCTGTCAATATCTATCACTGCTAGAGTTTCACTTAAGATAGAAACTTAATATCTTTCAAACTTATTTTCTATTTTATCTATTAGGACAAATTTGTCATGTAATTTTTTCTGGCTTGGAAATTATAGCTACAGTTTGCACAAAATCCAATTGCTTTCTTACTATATATGTTCTGCCATTTAGTATAAATGTACTGTTCCTATAAGGCTTTTTAAAGTAATATAATCATGGATATAAAAAAGATCACCAAACATGTAATATTTCAACTACTTTCTACTTTTAAATTAAGTAAACACTATCATTCACAATTTTTTGCACACCAAATCTGTGACATATCTTTATATTATCATGTAATGTTCACTCTAGTTATGATTTGAGAAACTGTGCTAAAAGTGTCAAGGGCCACAGGAAGCTGGCAGTACAGTTACATTATGGGCAGGTCTTCATCTTTTATTTGGGGGTGTGGGCAGTGAAAAGCAGGGGGAATAGTAGTGGCAAATTCACTGTCAAGGAAGAATGAGTTGAACCTAAGAAGGTACAACTGTTACTGTCTGCAGCCAAAGGCTATCACAGGATAGAACACAGAGAGAAAGACTTGTCCCTACAACTTTAGTAACACTACAATGGCCCTGGCTATAAGAATGTGCCTATTGTAGATTCTGTGGTTGTATTTGAATTCTGCTCACAAGTTGGCTATGTGGATACTTCTGTGTGATTCAATCAAAATGAAGTACCCTAGATAATAAGGATCAAATTCATAAAAAGAGTAACTTATTACTATACTAATTCAGAATGACTTTTCAGGACATAGGACATAAACCTGATTTTTAATTTATTTAACTCGCTATGCTTTTGTATCTGAGAAAAAAATGCTAAAAGTCAGTTAAGTCCCCAGTCTCATTTTATCATTTAAAAATAATCTGAATCCCAAATAGCTATCACATCTGTCAAGCATAGCTATTGCATTGCTACTGAATCAGATGGCTTTTAACAATGTTCCCTCAGAGTTTTTCTCCCCATATTTAAAGATTTGTTTACATGTTGTGCATAAGCTACTCTTCTCTCTCCAGAATATCAGCCCCAAGGACAATGTTGAGTTTACTCCATTCCTTATTAATAGAGTTAAAATTTTATTTTATTTTGTTGTAAGTTGGGGGTGAATAAGAATGTTGAAATCTGAATCAAAATTTTATGAAAAATCAGCTCTAAAAATGTGTACTGTCCCCTGGCTGGCGTAGCTCAGTGGATTGAGCGTGGGCTGGGAACCAAAGTGTCCCAGGTTCGATTCCCAGCCAGGGTACATGCCTGGGTTGTAGGCCATAACCCCCAGCAACTGCACATTGATGTTTCTCTCTCTCTCTCTCTCTCTCTCTCTCTCTCTCTCTCTCTCCCTCCCTTCCCTCTCTAAAAATAAAAAAATAAAAATAAATTAAAAAAATTAAAAAAAATGTGTACTGATGTGGAGTATAGTGGGACAGAATTTCAGGTCTTTTTAAAGAGGACTTAGGCTCATTTCACTTCTTCAGAGTAAACTGAAATCTCTTTATAATACCCTAAATTTCTCTTTCTGCCGCCCCTGCATCTTGGAAACTCCTTGTACCTTCTTCTCTCAGCCTTCTTTCCCCTCCCTTTTTTTCTTTTTTTCATTCCTCTTCACTCAAATAGAAAAGGAAAGTGACACCTCAGCTTGAGTTCAGGAGCTTCAAGTTGCCCCCTTTTTCAAAAATCTTCGTGGGGGCTGTCATTTGGTTCAACATTGCCACATTACTAACTTCTTTTGATTTTAGTATCAAACATCCCAGATAAAGTCTAAGTCTCAGGTCTATAAAGAAACCAGCCATGCAGCAGAGTGCTGCCGATATAGCACACAGAACAGTCAGGTCTGGTGGGGAGGGGGCACAGGACAAAGTTCAGAGTGCTGGCTCCCCCTGTCTCCACTGGTAGAACCCAGAGTCAGGAACCTTAAACAGCTAAGGGAAGCAAGTTTTGGAAATGGGTTTCCTCATGAAAAGATGGATGAGCAGAAGCCAAAAGGAGATTTTCACCTTTATTAGCATCTTCCACGAGATCAGTGTTCCTAGATTCCCGAGAGGAGACAATCATTTAATTTAAAAATTGTTGAATGAATGAATGAATTTGAAACTTTGTTCCAATAAATTTTTTCTTATCTCAAAACTTGGGCAAGAGTAAACTATATTTGGATATGTGACAGCTAATTATTTTTCTTAGCAAGTAATTATATCCATAAAGAAGTATGTTAATTCCCAACTGTGTTCCAAAAGAACAGGAAGATAAAGTACATCGAAGTATTTTAGGGCAAGTTGTGGAAGAAAAAATCTACGAAGCTTATAAATGATTTGCTACCAGATTAGAAAAAGTGCTGTCTCATGTTTTTGGCAGATTTGGGAACCTTAACTCTATTCTTTAAATAAAAAGTAGTTTAGCCACATCTGCTGCTTCTGTACTTTAATTTAGTTACTTTTAAATGCTTAAGTGCACACTGGAGCCTCAGGCAAAGCTTTGAAGAGGAAGGGATAAAATGCTAAATCTTATAAATCTCTGCTGTCTCTTTAAAGAATGTAAAAAATACCCATGTGCAATAAAGGCTGGCACCACAGTATTAACTACAGCAAGCATCAGGATTTCCTTCTTTCTTTCTTTTTTTTTTTACAGCTGTTGTGCAGGCATTAATCCTAAGGTGAAATCAGCTTAGTATTCCGTTTGACATGTTTAATCAAGTGTGAATTGAATAGACTACAATTGTAAACAAGCTACGACATACTGCCTAACTTTCAGTCAATTCTCTAGTTCTCTGTCCTCAGTCAGTAAACATTTGTGAGACACTTTTGTGTATTTTCTGTTTATTGGAAACTAGGGACAGTGGAGTAAGTAAGATAGACGATTTAAATAGACTTCTTCATTGGACCCTTTTATATTCCTAGTGTCTTTGGAGATCAGGAAATCATCTGAAAGAGGAAGGGAGGCTCCCTGCTTGTGCCCATAAGCTTACCTTTGCAAGTTGCTCATGAATCTCCAGCAGGCTTGGTCGGTTGACCTTGGGCCCACTGACACTGCCGGTGTTGCGATAGTACTCGATCTTGGGAACAGCATCCACCGTGTTGTGGCCAAAAGTTTGCAGGTAGTATGTGTTTGTGTGAGAATCGTAAGCATGAAAACTAGCATCTGTTTTAGTGGTTTCTCCATTTTGGAGGAAATTGTCATAGCACTCCTGTTTCCCAGGCCTAAAACTAATTCGGAATCTGTTCTGGGCTTCCTCCGCAAAAGAGGTTTCCTCATAATGTGGAGGGTCGGTATTATCCACTGCAGCACTGCTCTCGTGGCTCTCGCTTATGACATTTACTTGAAAGCGACTGGTATTACTGGGCACTGAGTCCAGAAACACGTTGGAAGAATTGTTCACTGACATCTTCAAACTAGGTATTTTTTTTTGACTCAGATATTTACTTAGCAGTGGTTGTGGTTGTTTTTAATCTATATATTTCCTCCTCAAAATAAACACTAATGTGTTTACATTAGGGAGCTCCTGGCTTCTGTTCTAGAAGAACGCAAGTAGATTCTTGTTGTATTGCCTCCTATACAATCTTCACATTGTTCTTCAAAGCTGTGATTGACAAAGAAAATTAAACTGGTTCAAAGATATTTAAATAGGAGTGGGGGTATGAGGAAACAGTGTTCTTTCACAAGACTTGCAATTTAAAAATTCATTTCATTAAAAATTACATGTCCAGGAACCCTAAACACCTGAGCAATTAAATCTCATAATAAATAACTGAGGAACTGTTTCAGCAACCAGAATTTCCAATGGAGTCATTAAAATGTTACCTGTGTTTGTAGTGTTTGCTTAGATCCTATGTAGTTGGATTCAATATGATTTTAGAAAAGATATAACTACCAATTTCATACAGTAAGAGCTGATGAGAATATTCTTAGCCTGAAACACAGTTCTAAATGTTGAAACTGCAAAGTGTTTCATGACTGATATCTATATACATTAAATAAGTAAAATGTTAAAATATTTAATCTTCTAAAAATAATTCTTGTTAGTTTATAAAAATGTCTTGTCAAGATGATGTCTCTCTAAATTACCAGATATTTCACTAGCCTTTAAAATGTTTGATTTGCTCATAAATTTGTCTGTTTTACAAATGCTATTATAGAATCTTTAAAATAACATATGAGTATTCAGGGCAAGGATATAAATCACAGTCTTCAACAAAATCATATGCAATATGTAGGTTAAATAATCATGTTCCACTTATTCTCTTTAATGAAATATTCTCAATCTTCACTGATAAATTTGTATTTGACTTTCAGATAAACAGACTACATAATCATTTTCAAAATTTATGGTACAACCCTATCTTAGAGCCTTATTTTATTAAAATAATCTTTTATCAAAGAAAGTTCTATTGCCTCTCTTTAGAAATTACTAAAACTATTCAAGTAAAAGACAGAAAACAGTACTTGAACAACAATTAAAGTAAAAAAAATCATAAAAAATTTCAATTTCAACCCTAAGTAAACTTTTCTGGGAAAATCTCAAGTGAATCTGTCATCTCTTTAGTTTTTATGGAGTATCTCACTTCTCTTTATAGTCCTTGATATCCTCACCCTTCCTCTACTCTTCAGAATTTCCTTTATGACATAATATTAAGTATAATTTTCATCCTGCCCAGGAATGTTTAACTTACCACCGGGAGCCTTCTTCTGAAAAAGTGTAACTTGCTTCAGCATCACCCAGGCATATATGGGGCACTTAGCTTTCAGCTCAGAACCTTAGGCTTCTTCTTATTGGTTAGAATCTTCTTTGAAAGAGATGACTGAGCAATGGTTGGTCTGGAATAATACTGTATGTCCTGCCCAGTCATTAGCCCTGAGGAACCTTAAGTACTACATCAACTAGTAACTAGTAGTAAACCATTAATCCTTTTAGACAGAAAGTAAAATAAATTTTCTTTAATGCATAAGGGAGTTGTATTATTCAACAGCAATTGCCAATAATATGTGAGTAGTGCTGTAGTTGGTTGGAACTAAATAAATTGAATCCTGTCTTCTTATTTCCCATGATTCTTAGTGACCTCCTATTGTTCAGCATGTGCAGAAAATACAGTCCTCCAGAGATAATTTCTATATTTTGGAACTACAAAAAGATATTTGAGATCATTTTATCTTGCTTATAGCACATATTACTCTGACTCTTCTCTGCATGAGAAGTGAGCAGATTGAGAGTACAATCAATGATTTATTGAAAATATTTCTACCTAGTGGGAAAATGGTTTCAAGAAGAAATCAAACTGTGGGTAAGTTTTCCAGTGGCAGTGCTAAATGATCTTTCTGTCTCCCTTAGGGAAACATTGTTATCAAACCAGGTTTTTGAGTTTTGTGGAGGGAAAGGTTTGGCTCACATCCGTGACATGGTGATTATTAAGATGGTAGTGATTATTAAGATAGCACAAACAACTCCTCCCTGCAGGTTCTGTCACGGTTTCCAATTGTGATGATTGAATGAGTTCTCCCTGTGTTTTATAAGAAACTATCCACAGGAGTTCCAGTTGCCTGAGCAGGGTGGTGGTGGTGGTGGTGTGATACAGTGGTTAGGAGCAAGTCTACGGAGTCAGGCTGCTCCATTCCCATCCTGACTCTGCCACTTTCTACCTGTGTGATCTTTGGCAAGTTCCGCAATCTCTCTCTGATTTAATTTTTCTCATCTCTAAAATGCAGTTGTGGATCATAGTTATAGAGTTATTGTAAGGATTAAGTAAGTCAATTTGTGTTTATACTTAGCTCTTGCTTTTACTATTTTAGTAATACTTAACAATTAGTGACTTTTACTTAGTCACATCCAAGATTCTGGGGTGAATCATTAGAGACTAGAATAGGTACTATGCCTATTAAAACAGGAGGAAACGTAGGTTGGTGAACAGATAACAAGATTGTAGAAAGGGACTTGGAGTTACCTAAGTAAAACCTCTCAGATGCTCTTGGTCAGGTAATTATCTTGCTACTCAGGCCAGTATCATGAGGCTGTATCATATCAAGGTCTGTCCAGAAGGTATCTAGCCACATAATAGAGACATTTATTGAAGAAGATGCAAGCTATAAGAAACATTGTACATTGTACAATGGCACCTCAGTCCCCTCAAAGTAGGCACCTTGGGACCTCACATAGTTCTCCCAATTGCCATCAGCTACCCTGTCATATTTTCCTGAATCTCATTAACAGTCTGAAATCCCTTCCCTTTCAAAGGTGGTTTTAGTTCTGGGAAAAGTCAGGATTTGCAGGGCACCAAATCTGGGCTGTAAGAGGGCTGAGCCATCTGGGTGATTTGATGTTTCGCCAAACATCTCTTCACGAGACATGATGAATGAGTGGATGTGCTTTTCGTGATGAAGCTGCCAATCGCCTATTGCTCACAGTGGCCTTCTGAGTCAGCCTAATAGTTTCCATGGAGGAATCTTCAAGCTTAATGCAAAATTTGATGCCTATGGTACATCTACACAATGGAACACTACGCAGTGGAAAGAAAGAAGGAGCTCCTACAGTTTGTGACAGCATGGACAGATCTGGAGAGCATTATGCTAAGTGAAATAAGCCAGGTGGTGAAAGACAAATACCATATGATTTCACCTATAAGTGGAACCTAATCAATAAAACAAACAAGCAAGCAAAATATAACCAGAAACATTGAAATAAAGAACAAACTGAAAGTAACCAGAGGAGAAGTGGGAGGGATAATGGGGGGGGAAGGGGAAGAGTTTTCAGGAACACATACATATAAAGGACATATGGACAAAATCAAAAGTGGGTAGGAACAGGGGGGAAAGTGGGGATGGCTGGTGTGGCGGGGAGTAGTGGGAAGAAAATAGAGAACTGTACTTGAACAACAATAAAAGGTGTGAAAAAAATTTAAAAAGAAAGAAAAAAATGATGCAGATTTGTTTCTCTACTAGCTGTCATTTGGAATATGATGGCCACACAGTCCACATGCTTACTCAAAGGCATCTACTGCCCCCACTGACTAGTACAGTGAAGTCGTCATTGTTCACGCATGTGCATTCCAGTCCACTCTCCTTGGCTGCCAGGTTACATCAATGTTGTGCAAACATTCTTGTTATATTAACAATGTCTAAACTTCCTCTGGACGGACTATATATACATATACATATGGAGAGAGAGATTTACAAAAATGCACCTATAATTTCTGCTCCTAAAGGCCACTGGGACAAGGCATTTATCTGTTCTACAAAGGATTCTGACTTGCCATATAGAAGGTAGTCAGGCATATGAATTAGTCACATTTCAGATTCAGCTAGGTGGGGATGGTTATTTAAATCAGCTGAGATGAGGCTGAAACCCCAAACAAGTCCTATTCACTGGCCCTGGACATGAGCTGTGGACGTACTTGCAGTTACTTCTGCCACTCTAGTCTCTCTCCCTTTAACTGTTCCCCCAACACCTGCCCTCTTTCAGGAGTCTACCTATTTCTCTCTTTCTTTGTATTTTTTGGGGGGAGGGGGATAGAATGGACATTTATTATATTCCCTGTCTGAGATCTGGTGCCGGGCAGGTTTGTTGTGTTTTGCTTTTGCATTTTCACTATGGTAAAATACACTTATAAAATTTATTGCCTTAACCATTTTTAAGTGTACAGTTCAGTGATATCAAATGCATTCACGTTGATGTGCAACCATCACCACCATCTATCCCTATAACTCTATGTGTTGTTTAAAAAAATCTCTATACTAATTAAACAATAACTTCTTATTCTTCCTTTCCCATTTCCCAGTCTGTATTTATGATTTTTACTACTTTAAGAACATCATATAAGTGGAATCATATAGTATTTTTCTTTTCATAAATGGCTTATTTCACTTTGCATAATGTCCTTAGGTTCATTCATGTTGTAGCATATTGAAGAATTCTTTTTCAAAACTGAATAATACTTCATTGTATGTATAGACTACAATTATTATTCATTGATGGGCACTTTGATTGCTTCCACATTTTAGCTGTTGTGAGTAATGCTGCTAGGAATATGGGTGTCCAAATATTACCTGGGTACCCTGTTTTAAATTCCTTGGGGTATATACCAAGAGGTGAATGAACTCATGGTTGCCAGAGGAGAGGCATGGGGGTATGGTTGAAAAAAGTGAAGGGAAATATGAGATATAAACTTCCAGTTACAAAATAATGTATACAATTGGGGAATACAGGCAATAATATTGTAATAACTTTATCTGGTGACAGACAGTTACTAGGCATATTGTGGTGATCACATTGTAAGGTATATAAATATAGAACCACTATGTTGTATACCTGAAACATATAATATTGTATAAAACTATATACTTTAATAAAAATAGAATCACCATATGATCCACCTATTTATTTCATAAAGTTTTTTGTTCTACATCAGACTGTGAATGCCTGTGATAGCAGTCAATTTTTTTTTCTTGCTGACTGCTTGACTACAGGGTAGTGTGAATTAGTTTTAGTTTTGGTCTTACATCAAGCAGACACTGAAATTCTAAGACTTTTATCTCTAACTGTGAAATAAAAGCCTTTGTTCTCTGTTAAAGAGATTTGGACATCCTGGAGCTGGGGAGATGGTTTGGGGGATATGAGTGAAGCCAGCCATAAATCCAAACTTGAAAGGTAAACCTGAGTTAGGTATTTCAGACTGGTGGGTAAAGTACCAAGGGAAACCTGTCTGGCGGTGTGCTCTTCTATCTCTCTTCCTATCCCCCTTGACAGGGCTCTTGGGAAAGGACAGCTGGGGGATGATCTGGCTATGACATTGGACATCTATGTCTAGAAGGGTTAACATTTCAAAAAGTCTCTATGTTGTGTCCATACTAGAGCCAGCCTTTAAAATTTTTCATATTGTTCCTTGCTGTGAAACTATAGAGGCTGGCCTCTCTTCTTCTCTCCACACAAAATGTCTCAGGTGCACAATAGGCCATGAATATATCCCATTGCTGAAGGGCACTTTTGGTTAAAATAATTTCTCTCTAGAGGGATTGAAATAATATTACAGTGAAATTGATATCTGAAAAAGCTTGTCGATATTGAACTTTCTGAAATAATGTTCATACTTCATAAAATTTCCTTTTCCCTTGGTTTGGGTATTTTTTTTCTGAAATAAAGATCTAACCTTGTGTTCTAGTCACCAAAATAAAGGGACTTAGTAGCTCTCTTTCTTGGCAGACAAATGGAGCATCTGGTACTTAGACATATATCCTGGTGAGTACTTTAAAAGCCTGGGTCCCGAAGAAGATGCCAAGTGTCCTGGTAAATACAACTTTCAGTGTGTCCAGCTGACATGGCTCAATGAGGTGTTCTTGGACCAAATAACTTTTTGACTACAAGATGTCCCAGGCTGATACTCCTGTACCTACTGGGGTTTAAAGAACCTTGTTGAGGTATGGGTTTAGTCCAGAAGATCTATGACCAACCAGGATGTGTTCTAAATCTACTAGGAGATAGAAAGTGTCTGGGAATCTCACTGAGGCAGCTGGTTTTGTGGTGCTGTAGCCCTGAGCAGTGACCATATTTATAAGATATGTAGAATTATGAGGACAATGTTGGAGTACAGCAGGATGTTCGCAGACAAGGACTCTGACACTAGATTGCCCAAGTTCAATTTCTAAAGCAGCCACTCCCTAGCTTGGTGACCTTGGGAAATCAGTCTCTCTCAACTTCCGTTTCTCATCTGTGAAACTGAGATAATAAAATGGAAATAGTAGTACTGAACTCAAAAGATTGATAAGAGTATCATATCACATAATTAATAAAAAGCACATAATTTAGTGTTCACTCTCAGTAAATATTACTCATTCCTTTTAGGTATGTTTAGCAGTTCTTTGTTCTCAAGTGACACAAATATTTTTTGTATTTGTTTATCTCCTGTTAGTCCTCTATTCAATGATTACAGAGAATCAGAATTTTATAGCTTTAAAGAATTTGGAATTATATAATTCTATCTTTTTACTTATCAAATAGATTGAAAACTGAAGAGGTTCAATAATTTATACTAAATCAGTGCTTTTTAAATTTTAAGAACTTCTGTAACTGTTATCAATGAGGATAATAATGATAGTAAGTTATGTTTGAATAGGGCTTTATGGTTTTCAAATTCCTTTCACATTTTTTGTGTCACTTAGTCCCCTCAGCATCCTTGCAAGACATATAGGATAGGTTTCTTTATCCTTGTTTTGCAGATGTGGAAAATAAGTCTCCTGTAAGTAAATTTATAGATCATAAAGCTTGTTCTTAGCTGGGCCAACATGAAAATTCCTATCTCTGAGTTTGGGCTCCTAAACTAAAAAAAGTTTTCATCACATCTTAAGCCCTCATTCATCTCAGATTTCTGGGTTTCCAGGCATGCTTGTAGAGTTCACAGGACTGTAGGATTCAAAGGGCTGTTAGAACCCTCTAGTTAGCTTCCTTACTGAAGTCCACAGAGAGTAGTTGGCTTGACCATGTTCACATAGCTGCCACGGCAGCAGGGCAGAGACTGGACTTCCTGTTTCTGGAACAGTGCTCTTCCCACCAGATCACACTGGAAACTCCATTCCGTGCTGTTTATAAAAGGAGAGAAGGGCACTCTCAAGGCTCATCTATGTTGTCACAAGTGGCAGTATTTCATCTTTTCTTGTGGCTCATTTACACACACACACACACACACACCATTTCATGCTAAGAGAAATAAGTCAGACAGATAAAGTAAAGCACCATATGATTTCCCTCATATGTGGGATATAAAACTGAAAGCAACAAATGGACAAAAAAGACAAACTAAAAGGCCTCAAAACACTCATAGACACAGACAACAGTACAGTAGTTACCAGGAGGAAAAGAGGGTAGTGAAGAGTAGAGGCGTCAAGTGTGTGCGATGTCAAGGAAATTTGCTTTTGTGTGGTAGAGATACAATGCAATATACAGATTATATATCATAGAATTGTACACTTGAAACCTATATAATTTTATTCACAAATGTCACCGCAATAAATTTAATTTAGAAAGGAGGAGGTGGAGGAAGCATCAGTATGAAGCAGATCTGGTTTGAATCTCAAGCTATGGGGTGGTTTATTGCAAGATATTCTAGAAGAATAATTAGAAGGGTCAGGGCACTGTCAGATTTGGAAATCTTTAGGACCTGTGTCTATTTGTAGGTTTGTGTGTTAGTTTTGTGAATTTTTTTTTCACCTGTGAACATTTTAGATCAATGGCTATTATTAGGAAAATCATATTTGATTTATCCTTTTCAATGAGGGTCCCTTATGCTTAAGAGACCTGATTTTCTAATGCTAAATGGGCTGGAATTGGGAATGCAGAGAGAGTGTGTTGGCATTGCAGAGGGTCAGAAGCAGGAAGGCCCTGGCATAATTTATAAGCACAAAAAGGGAGCAGAGATTTAAAGCAGATGTTTGAGATAAGAATAAAGATGGTATATATGGCTGGAATAATCCTTCTACTCTATTCATTGGAAACCACAATACTGGCGGACAGGGAAAGTTAGGAAACCCAGCAGTGGTCTATGACTTAAACAGCATAGTGGATAAGTTAATGACACATGTTTATTGAATGTAGTGAATGACATAAGCCTGTCTCCAGCACTTTCAATGTAATCACAACTGTACCCATCACGTGTCCCAGTGGCACAGCACTACAAGCCGTAAAGCTGCAACTGTCATGCGAGTGCATATTCAAATGTCCCTTTGTCAAATTCTTCCACTTCATCTTCCCATGTAGAGGAAGGCATGCTACTATATGGGTCTAACAGGATTTTGAAGCATCTGATAATAAGAAGTCCCAAGAAAATACATAAAATCCCAACAAAAGCAAAGCCAGTTTTTTGCTCCAAAGTCAATGAGAAAGCTGATACTTCGTTGACACTCATCTTAGCTGAAGAGTTGCCACAGTAGGTACTACTCATTATTCACTGTTACATCGTTGCAGCTCTTCAGAATTCCAGCTGGAGTCACCTCTTGGCCTAGATATAAAATTGGAATCAGTTAGTTTTATCTGTGTGTGTTATTGAGCAGGTAATTATTTTATAAAATCTGGCAGTTTTTAAACCTTTTTGACTTAACTCGCAAAAAATGTTTGCAGACACCATTAGATATGAATCACAATCGAATTATGATCAAATCATGAGCATTGGAGAAGTTACTCCTATTGTAGTAATTGCCTTTGTGGACACATAAAACTGTACCTATATATGCTAAATATAAAGTCAAGTATGAAGGTAAATATTCAAAAAATTAATCCTAAAAGCTTTTAATCAAAAGCTTTGTGAGTTAGTTAAGCCATTGCTTTTTTCCCCGAATTAGATGAATTATTGTCTAATTTGGCACGTGTAGATACTACTATAAATAAATAATTACAGGATGTCAGCTGGTCAAATTCTTTAAAGTCCAGATTTCAAGGTCTATCTCCATTGCCCCTTTGTCTGGTACAGATTCTTATCTTTTTCGTGTCTTCTCTCTTTTTCACTCCTTAGCCTTTAGACTTATATCTATGTATTTTCTACTACTATTCCATACACTAAATCTCAATTTGTTAAAGAGGGAAATTGTATTTTTTAAAATTTGTTTATAAGTGCAGTGCCCAACATAGCAGCTTGCAAGTAACACACAACAGTAGCCGTGGACCATTAAGCATCCATCTCTCCCCCATCTCCATCAGTTTTCAACACCCTAAATAAACATAAAGTCCAAATTAAACACATGTTTACTATAAAAATGCAGCTTTAAGGCAAGGTCCTCAGTCCTCTTCCAAAGGGAACTTTCCTATCCCTAAGTTCCTACTATAGTGGGATTCTAAAATTACAGCAAAAGTGTTGGGAAAGTGGGTTTCAAATTGAAGTCAAATTTTTTTCCCATTCGATGTCTTAATGTTAATTACATTTATTCCAATTTGAATCAGTTAATTAAATCAATGGCTACTAACTCACAGGTTCCCTTCTTGAGAGGACTGTCACCAAATATCTTGTCATCAAATAACTGAGGACAATAGATTGTTAGTATTTTTATTTTTGTTTTTTGTCATTTTGAAGTTTTGTTTTAGGGTTTGGTTGCTGCTTCTTCTGATAATTTTTAAGAACTATGTTTATTAAAATGACTGGCTCTTGAGGGTTTTTTATGAATGGTAAGGAGTGGAGAAGGGAAGTAATTGATAAAAACAAGCCTTGTAGTTTTTAAAATTACTTACCAACTAATATACCAGTTAATATCAAACAACATTTTATTTTGTAATGGCTTGGATTACAATACATTCTGGAGTGTGCTGGTTATTTGACATTTTTGTTTAATAAAAGGAAAAATATTGTTTTAATCCATCTGCTGAATTTCTTTCCATCAAATCATTTTATGTCCTAATAAGTATGGTATAGTGAGTATACTTTAAAAAATTAGAATCACTTAGAGTGGCTCTGAATGGTTTTTCTGAAGATTGAGTTTTTGTACAATTTATCATATAGAAGGTATAGGAGATGGCACTGAATATCTAATGACCTTGGGACTTAACTAGAACTTTTTTTCCATCTTAATCTCTAATTTTATTGCCTTTGTCACTTGAACGTATTTTGTTGAGATCTATACATGCTCTGTTTTTTGTTGTTGTTGTTTTGTTTTGTTTAATGGTGGAGAAACAGAAAAGCAGTATGTTTTCTACTTGGAGATGCTGGACCCAACATTTGTCATATACCTGAATGATTCAGCCAAGTAACTTGTTTGAATTGTTTTTTCATTAAAACCATGACCTTTCTAGGCTATACCATTAGACTATATCAGGGGACATGTGGGTAAGAGGAGGCAGTAAACTCGGTTTACTGGTGAACACTGTGGTGTGTCCAGCAGACTCCCTCTACTGAGTGACCAACTGCCCAGCAGCCGGGAGTGCTGCCAGCAGCTGGTGTTCAACCATTAGCCCTGTTCACAGGTGGCCTCAGTAGCAGAGAGCTGCCTCACCAAGGTCAGGACACTTCCTAGGGAAGACCATTTGCAATGGCCTGTTGCCATTAGAATAAAAAGACCTGGCTATCTTGACACAAAGGGGCACGATTTTGAAGGACAATTCTAGTTCTAGAGTGTCACATGGGATACACCAAAGCTGTTGTTTGTTCCAATCACAGGTCAACTTCTGCCCACTCCTGCCTAATTCACACTTTTCCACAGGGTTGAGCCCAAGGGCATTACTTAATAAACATTCTGTGTGCTAAACTCTGCCTCAGAATCTGGTTTCTGAGGACACCAACCTGGAATAATTTGTATCACAAAAGTTAAAACACCTAACAGTTTCAATGATCTGTACATTTCTCAGCTAGTTAATTTTGCCATCATGCAGAAACAGCCTAAATTGAGTATAATTATGCTTTCGCTAAATTTATTTGTTTTTTAAAAGTCATAAAGCAGACAGACACAGGGTGACAGCTGATCATTACAAGAGTTAAGTCTTGTTAAGTTGGCTCCTAGCCAGTAATTAATCCACTGGACTCTTTTTCTCCATTCAAATCTACTAAATGACCAAAACAAACAAACAAATAAAAAATGCATTTTCCAGCTATCACAATAAAACACAACTAATTTGTCACTAGTAAATTAGAACAAGGTATCTTCCTACAAATAGGTAGTTACAAAGTAGTCATGAAGATGTAAAGTACAGCATAGGAAATATAGTCAATAATATTGTAACAAAACTATTTATGGTACCAGGTGGTAATGGAAATACCAGGGGAAACACTTTATGAAGTATATGATTGTTTAACCATTATGCTATACACCTGAAACTAATGTAAAATAATAATATTGAATGTGAATAGTAATTAAAAAACAAGGTATCTTTCTACTTAGAGATACAAACACCCTTATATTTTTAATTATAATTTGTCTAATATATATCAGATAATGCTTTGTTCTTAGAGTCTTAGACAGTCTGTAAATTGAGTTACTTATCATTTTTATGGAAAAATAACTACTTAAGCTGTGGCCACAGTTCTTGGCATATTTTAAATGCTCAGTAAATATTTTAATTGAATTGAATTAAATATATTGAAAATATAATATTTGATGAATAAAGTTCTGGTTTTAAAATACCTAAGTTTTAAACATCCAGAACCTTAAAATACATTTAGCAAAGTAAAAAGAGCAAGAAAACTTTTATTTGATTTTTTAAAAAATTCTGAAGATACCATGTAAAAATATTTACTAAGTTGCTACTAATATGTTCTAGTAGATGTGGCCCTCTCTATTCAAAGAGATTGCTCAACTTGTAAGAGAGGGAACCTATGCACAAACAAGAATGAAACAGTATAGGCTTCTACAAAGGAAATAAACCTGTATTTAACATAGACTGGGTATCAAGCATTCCTTTACATGCTATTTTATTTAATCTCCATAATAATGATACAGAGCTGATATTATCTTCAAAAACTTGATAAAAAAAGAGATTCAAAGAGGATAATCAAATTTAGAGGTATTGAATAGAAACTTCACCCATTTAGGGATCAGGAAAGTTTTTCTTGTAAGGGACTGTATTTGAACCTCAGTTCAAATACATGAACTGAGGATTGAAACACAGAAGATTTAGATATGTGTAGAAGGAAAGAGCATGACAATAAATATGAAGCAGAAAAGTTCTGAATTTGTTTAGAGGACAGTGAACAATTTGGCCCAAGCAAAGTAGAGTAATGGAAACAAACCATTAGGTATTAGGATAGGTTTGTATAAGCCAAAATGTGAAATATCTTGACTGTCAGGTTGAGTTTGAAATTTCTTTGCCTAGAGGCCAAGTGGTCAGATGATGAGACTGAAGTAGACATAGATTTCAGGAAGGAAGCATCATGGAAAGAAATGGTCCGGGTGAGAAGCAATGAGGGCCTGGACTACGAACTGAATGTGTGGAAGATGATAGGGGTTTGAAAGATATTTACAAAGATATGAAGGCTAGGATGTGGCAACTAACATAGTGGCCCATGAAGGGAGAGACATCAAAGGTGACTCCACTCTGTGAAGACTGGACAAGTGCAAAAACAGTGTTTTCATTAACCAAAATAAAGGAAAAATGAGCAAAGTATAAACTTACTTATAAAGGAAATGAAGAGTTCTGCGCTGGACTTAGTGAGTTAGTGGATCATAGCGGACACTTTAATGGGCAATAAATTAATCTACATCATTTTGTCCAGCATAAAATTGCTGGTGGGGAGAATATCTCAAGGGCATTATTGTCAAATAAATTTTGTGTAGAAGAATGCATCCCAGATGGAGTATCCAATACATACAAGCATCAAAGTTTTGCAGATTAAAATTTAAGAGATGGAAAGAACTGCTGAGTTTTGACTAGGAAAGGAAAGATCAAGGAAGATGATAGTTGCATCCAAATATTTGAAGTGTGATACTATAGGAAGTCAGATCTACTTGTTACTAATTGATCCAAAGGCAATTTGTTGTAATTCCATTAAGGTTCTATGTGCATGTGCTAGAAAGGATTGAAGATGAAAGAAGCCAAGGAATGAGCCTCAATGAATGTTTCTTTTGAAAGAAGAAAACAGGATCTGCTTGTGGAGTTGTATGAGGAGTGATCCTACTATGAGTAAAACCATAGGAGGAAGCTCACCTGCAACAAAGGAGGCTAGAGTGTCTAAAAGGGGTGGGTAAACAGTGTCAAATTCATCAGTGGTAATTAGAACTAAACACTGAAAAATAGGGCATTGCCATTCAGGATGTTTGTATCATTTAAAAATTTCAGTTGAAAGTCCAGGAAAGACAATCAAATGAAGAGGGTTTAAAAGAATAAAGAGAACATGGAGTCAGACGGTAAAGGAAACTTGACAGAAAAGAAGTTTTATTTGCACAAAAGTTAAAAGTGCAGAAGTTGAGATCATTAGACTAAGAACTTTCAATAATAAGAACATGACTATATATTCAGTTTTTAAAAGTAGAGCTGAGTAAATTCACATGGGTTTCAAAAGAACTATGAAATTTCAATTTTTAACAAAAAATTTGGGGTAAAAAAGAACAGACATTTTGTTAGTATCTTAAAAGAAAGGCCTTAGACTTTTATAGTAATCTTAAAATTCTACCTTCTACTGAAAATAAAAACAAAATATAGGTCAAGGAGAATAACTGAAAGGGTAGTATCCAAGGTTGAAGAAAGTCTGGCCATTTCTGTTGGCTGTTTCTATACAAGAAGAAAGGTAAAAAGTTAAGCAATTGCCTAACAATATCTTCAGCGAATAGGTGCTTTTGGTAATTTAAGCCATATACATAGAAATTGAAATACCAGTATTTTCAGGCCTAAATTTCCTAAACATTTGCCCAAACTCTCCATTTTTCTTGCTCTGTGAGGTGAACAACTTGTCTCATTTCAACACAGAGTCTAAAGTGTTTGAGAATATACTGCTAAGTGTGCTGAGCTTTGCACCTTTATATTGGTGAAGAGGATAATATGATATGAAAGCAATGTCAATAATAAGATACTGTTAACAATAAATGGAAGTCTTCAATTACAACAGTGATTTCTTCATAATTAATAAGTATCCAAAATTATTCTACAAGTATGGGTAAATGGTACATTTCAGTTTCTCTAATCCCTGGATAGATGGGAAAGCAAAAAAAAAAAAATCAGCAGGTTCTTCCTGCACAACAGACCCTTTAATGCATACCTCAGAGGGAAGCCATCATCTTAACATCCTGTTTACTGAGAATAGTAAATGAGAGAAATCTAGACCATGAAGTTACGAAAACAAATGTTTATTTGTGAGAAAAAACAGTTAAAAATACAATTTTCAAAAAAGAGTAGAATGTAAAATTGTGGGGTGAAAGTTATTTTTAAAATACTGTATAACAAAAATGGGTAAAATTATCAACACTGTACAGTTTAAATATCAGGGTCTATACTTATTATGATGAAAGCATTTAAGTACATTTTTATAGTATTACTGCAAAAAGATATTGCCTTAAGCCATATTCACTGAAATAATTATTTATATACTTCTAGAAATAAATAATTGAGTTAAAAGACACATCATTTCCTAGATGGCAGTTGTCAAAATCTGGGATCTCTAAGTCCTGACAAGTCATAGGATTGAGCCAAGCTTATACCTATAGATACCACAAGGCCCAAATCTCACTGTAGTTATTAACCAATAAATAAAATCTTTCCATTTTAAGTCTTACAAATCATACCATTGTGGGTAGTCAAGCAAAGATAGCAATATTTTTTATACCTGATATATAACCCTTTATAAACATGAATGTTATGTGTGATGTTTGCTTTTCTCTGATATAAGTTTACTGATGGAGATATAAAATTTCATTTTTCAGAAACATAGCTATTTAATTTGTATGCAGCAATGTACAATTTGAGAACAAATATTGAAAATATTGCCCATTAAAGATAAGGAAACTCCTGTATTTTATTTTAATCAACAGGTTTTTTTCCCATTTATTCTTCTATTAATAATATTCCAAACAGTAAATTGGAAATAACAACTATTACAGTATAATATGATGTTCTGGATGGAAAGTATTTTGATATTGGTCATTAGATACAATAATCTCTAATGCTAATAATGTGCACATTTATAATTTCATGAAATGAGATATATAAGAAAACCCAAGCTTAAAAATAATGAATCCTCCCCCCAACACACATACCCCCCTTCCACACCATATATCAAGGTTATTAAATCCCATTAAAATAGAGGGGAAAGAAATATTATTGAGGCCACATCTGCACAGAGCTAGTTAATCGTGAGGAATGGAATGTGTTGGAATCAAAAGAAAACCCTAAATTACAAACCCAGATGTCTTCATCATGATGAAATGCATAAATTTCGGGCCTTCCAGGGATGCAAAACCTTGGGGTCTGCCAAAATTCATCCCCCAACCATTTGGATTTCAACCTTAAGAGAATTTCCTTCTTAAGAGAATCTTTGGATGACTCCTCAAGGACTCTGATATTCATTCCTCTCAAAGCACTGAAAACCTTTTCTGTAAATTCTCAAAATGTCTTACTAGAGAAACCTAGACTATCATTGTCATTCTGCCTTGTTTGTCTGCAGTACTCTTTGGACATATTAAACTGAAGAAGCATAAAAATCTCCTGCAAAACATGAGAGAAGCATCAGCAAACTGCACACACACATTCTCTTTGTTTTGTTTTGCTCTTTTGGCAGCAGCAGCAGCAGCAGCAGCAGCAACAGAAACATTTGGGTTCTTTCTCCTTTAGAATTTGAACTTACCAGACCTGCAGGCTCCTTCCCCCCAGTCCCCCACCTCCTTTCCCTCTTCCTAGCTTCAGAAATACAAGAGCCTGAAGACATGCTTCTCATCTGGACCTGCCCTGGAACCCTTCAGTTAATGCGCAGGGTAGGGGGAGAAAGTTACTTCTTAGGCAGGGTTGTCTCACCTTCCATGCTTGTTGCCATGGAGATGAAATCCAGTGAGTAGACTTAAGTGCTGGCAGGTTTGTCTGTGTTCGCTGATCGGTTCAGTAATAATGTAAAAGGCGTGTCTTGGGAACCTGCGTGGAGTCACAGGACCGTGGTTAGCGCTTTCCTGGCCTACGTGTGTAAATGTCTGTATCTGTCGGTGAGAGGAAGAGGACGTGGGCGCCCGCGAAGTACGTGTGCGCGTGCGAGTGTATTTGCAGGAAAATGTGCATAGATTACTTCGATGTTGCAATGTGTAAAAATTTGCGCGCTCGTGCGTGTTTGTGAGGTTCTAAATTCTTATGCCTTTCTTCTCCGATACAGGAAAGACACAGTGAAAGGTTTAACTGGGGACTGCATGCGGCATTTCGGTTATTTTCCCCTGCTCCACCTTTTCTCCTCTACGCACACCCAACCGGATCCCCTCCCTTTCGCAGAAGTAGGTGCCTAGGCGCTGTCCATCGTGCTGAAACATTGCGTAGTAATACCTAGCTCCAATACAGGAGCTGGATGACACCAGGCAAGGGACGCTCCGATAAAGCCCATATGCAGTTGTGAGGCATGTTTTATAAACAGTGTTAAATACATAGAACCCAAGCCTAAACCACATTGAAAGCAAAACAAAATGAAAAGAGCAAAAACCTCTTACCTCATTCTTACTTAGGGGTCTTGTTCTCCAAACTCAGTTAAAAGGTTCCACTTCTATTCTTATTTGGATACAATATCCAGAACCTACAAGTTGCAAACACCTGTAGATTTCCTAAAAACTTAATTATTGACCTTATGAATTATTAAATTGTCATCAATTTGGGAAATGTAAGTACAGAATTGGGTCATCGTTCATATAAAAATAAAACTGTAAAATCATGTTATAGTTTAATAATACTCATTTAGAGTATTTGCTAATTTAGAAAATTTAATGGTCTTTCAGAAATGGGCAATGTGTAACTTGGAATTCATACATTATTTTACTAGAAACAAAAAACGTTATTCTTATTCATTTAAAACTAATAAACACCTTATAATATGGGTGAATTAACTGCCCACCAAAGAAAAAATAAAAGTATCTTCTTCCAGTCATAGCTATGGTCTTATTGACATTTTTAAAGCTTACTAACATCCTTTTTTTGGGGGGAGGTACTAGGTGCTAAAGCAGTGCCTCTTGAAATTTAATGTGCATATAAATCCCCTAAGTGTTAAGTATGTTGAATCCAAGCTTAAACCACATTGAAAGGAAAACAAAATAAAAACAGCAAAAACCTCTCACTTCGTCTTTACTTAGGGATCTTGTTCTCCAAACTCAGTTATAAAGATCTTACTAATATGAATGTTCTCATTCAGTAAATGTGAGGTTGGGCCTCAGATTTAGCATTTCTAACAATATCCAAGGTGATGCCAGAGGTTGCTAGTCTCCAAACCACACTTCAAGTAGGAAGGTGCTAGAAATATTGTGTTCTGGCAATGCAGTCACCTATAGAGTATGGGAAGGAGGTCATTTTATTTCACCTATTATTCTATGTATGTTTCCAGCCTGTTACAAGAATACTCTATTTATATTAAGTGCAGGGGTTAACCATTTTATTTGCACAGTATTAACAAACTTTGTGAATTTGATCATTTGATTTGATTTTGACATTGTTTGGACACACACTATAATTTACTCCACTCTATATTTCCATACTATGATCTGCTATCACCATTCTCTTTTCAAGCCCGGCTCAAGGAAGCGGGACTAAGTTGAATGATTCTACTGTTGATGTATGGGCCCTACTCAAAGGATTTATTATAATTGGAGAACTTGACTTATAATATTATGACTTTAAATATGGCTGAATAGTAAATGCTCAGGCCACTGGTTTTAAAAATCTGGATGTCACTAACATAATTCTCACCCAGTTTAGAAAGTGGGATATGGCCATTGTCTCATTGATCATTCAAGTGAATGCTGACCTGTCATGTCACTGACATAATAGAGATATAGTTAGATTTTGAAGGTTCCTATGAATTGTTTTCTGGCATTTAAAAAAATCATGTCTACCTCAGTTAATACAGTGCTTTTAGTTAATGAGTTTGAATTGATGCCAAAGAAAAGTTTTGACTATAAATTAGATTTCTTGGTTGTAGTTGGTGCATAACCTTGACCTTTTTCCAGCTGTATGAACAAAGGTGATGCTCTGAAATGTATGAAAAGTGGTTCATTCAAGGAAGAATAATGGATTAAAAGTTCATTATGTTCCACTTTGCTAGATGCTAGGATACAAAGATAGGTGAGATTTGGTCTTTGTCCTTGATGAGATACAACACAATAACTTGGCAATTTCTACAAAGTTCTATAGAAGCACAGAGATTAGTAATTTATATTTTATATTTTATTCTTTATTGCCAAAGAAGTAATGAAGAATAGAATAAAACCCAGCATACCTGTATTTTAGATTCTTAACAATGTCTGTGGCCAAACTTAAATTTTTTAAAAATTGCTGAAAGATATGAAGTATTTGAATGCTCTTCTAAAGAATATATGATTAGCCTATGCTTATGGATAGTCTATGATTTATTTTCAGAGCAGTCCAAATTATTATAAAGGTAAATATGTGTTGGCATTGTTTAGATCCTCCCCAAACAAAGTTGCCTTTACCATGCTTTGATGGTGCACTTTCAGCTTATACACAAATATTCTATATAAAGCAGCCCTCAGCTTACACAACCTGCTCTACATCAACTAGGATTGTTACTAAAAACTTATCCAACATATCACTTTCTATTCCTTTATGACATCCCTTCAAAAACATTTTTTAATATCAATTTCATGAATTGAACTCTCACACCACTCCTTACCACTGAAACCATCCCAAAGTAAGTGGTGTATTCTCCTTTTATATACAATGTATTATATCATATATTTGATCACATTTGCCTTTACTTTTAGTTACCAGGGATGTCAGATTCAAATTAAAAGTTACAGATTAGTAACATTATAAGACTATAAGGCCTTTATATTTGTGCTTTTTCTCTATTGCTTTGACTGACCCAATTTTGTTTCCCCAGATATTGGTACATTATTTTCTTTAAATTATCTGTTTTAATACATGTTCTCATGTAAATGTCCTCATAAAATCAGCAATGGAGTCAGTAAATCAAAAATAAGTAAATGAATACATTTATTTCTCTATTTTTTGGTGAAAATTTTTGACTACTGGGAGGATATATATGTTTGCTTTATAAATTTATTTTTAATAAGATACTAAAGTATAGAAAAAAGATCATCTAGTTTGCTCTGAAGATAAAATCTAATTTAATATGACTAAATTATAAATGTTTAGCTACCAGAAGAAAATTTCAACTTATATAACTACAGATCAGCTTTATTTCTAAACATTTTACTTCCTTTTTTCTCCTTCTATACATTATAAGTAGTGTGTCTTATAAGACTGGGACTTTTTGTTATGTCAGAGAGTAGAAATGTTAATTATCTACCTTGTTAGAAGACATGGTAACTATAGAAATTTAAAGAACATGACAGCTCTGCTCTAATGAATATACTGTAGAAGGAGGGTGTCACAAAGAAACTAAGAGCAAAAAATTAATCTCTAATATGTCAGCTCAGTGTTCTTTTCAAAAGAAAATTTTGCTTGCAATAAGTACTCCCCACCCTGGCTTAAGTTAACTGGACTTCCTCTCATTTATTACAGTGGGATCATTTCTTAAACTTATTGGATCAACCTGTTACCTTCAGCTTTTTATGGAAATCAGTCTGGCTGAAATTTGATTTTTCTGAGTTCAAATGTTTTAATGTTGCTGTGTTTTTTTGTTGTCATTTAATTAAATGTTAGATATTAAAACTTTCCAATAAAAAGTTAAAATGATTAAAGACAAAAGTGAATCACTTTTCTTATAAACATTTACAAAACTAATCCAATACTTATTTGGCTATAGATGGTATTAGGTAATTAGCTATATCCAAAAATCAACTGTTTGTTTTTTTAAATGCTTTTCTACCTATTTTGAGTGTATTTTGAAGCTACCCATACTTTTTTTCCTGCATAAGTGGTTTTAGTATTTTTGGAGGATCAGGAATGATTTTGAAATTCCAAAAAGAAATGTATACTCTCTACCTAAAAAGTAAACAGATACAGATAATTTTGCCCACAACTCAAGGCATTCATGGGCCCTTGGAAATACATTTTTATAATCTCAAAATAATGCAAGGAGTGATTTTAATTTTTTTGCTATAAATGAGTAAGCCATGGTCTCATTCTGTTTTGCAACTAAGTATTCTGACTTAAAGACCTATGGAGTTTTTTTTTGGTGTGGTTTGTTTGTGTGTGTGTGTGTATGTGCATGTGTGTGGGCATGTGTGTGATTCTCTCCCCCTGCCCCAATTCCATTAGTTTTCTGTTTTCTTCCCTTCGATTTCCTTGGAAACCAGAAGGGGTCACTTTACCATCTGATCTCTAGAAAGTAGCCAATTCAGAATATGCTGAAATAGGATTAGAGAGTACAGTAACAGGATGATTAAATTTGATTAGCAAATGGCTGTGTGGGAGTTTTTTCAACAGTGAGGAAATTAGCTAAGTAAGTGGACTCATAAGTGAATTGAGCACGGTGACACTTTCATGTAGATAATGATCTATTATTGTCTATTTGATGAGTCCTGCTAAAAACGAGATGTTATGTTTTGTTGCTAAACTCTTTTACAAAGAAAAATGCACTAAATATTTCAACTCAGAGTAATCTATGAAGTTTTATTTAGTTGGTTTTAACTTTATTGTTCATAATTGTATTACACATTGATTCATGTAAAGTATACTTCAAACCCTCTATGATATTTACTGTTGAATGTAATGACTACGATAAGGTATCTTGAGTACAATCTCCACAAATGTATGAGCTATAACTACAGTATATTTAATTGGTTTAAATCATTTTGCTGGGGTAAAGAAATAGGGAAACAAAAAGCAGTTTATTCTGCTATGGTCTATGTTTGTATAATATGAATAGTTATTGGCAAGTAGGGATGTCAATAAAATGTGGAAATCAATGGATTTATAAATG